AGGGGTGAGAAGCAGCCCCCAGGGCCCGGCTGGCCCTTACTTGCCTTTACAGCCCAGGGCCGTGGCTCCGTAGGTCCCAGCTCTGCTCCCCCCCCCTGCCCCACAGAACACCCTGCCCGGCCCACCACGAAACCGCAGCTCAGAGGAGCTCCCCCAGCCACGCCAGCGCCCGCAGGACGGGTCTCCTGCTGGCCACCGGGGCCCGTCCGAATCACAGCTCCCACCCCGCACCCTGCGGCCGACACGGGAGGACTGGAGCACGAGTGCCGCTGCTGCATCGGCTCCCACATTTTAGGTTAAACCCAGCCACCGCGCCCCGCTCGTCCAGCCGAGCTCCTCTGGATGCAGCCGAGGACCAGCCCTTCCCGACTGCCCTCAGGGCTCCAAGGTGGTCCAGTTTCCTAAAGCTTCTTTCCTGCTTTTCCTAAGGAGAGGTCTCTGCTGAACACCGACCACACCATGGTCATGTTTTCCCTGCTTACTCATGCAAAGCAGCTGAGGAGCTCAATGGCTCGGGAGTCGCCATCGCACCAATCCTTCCCAGGATCGATGGGTTTTGCGAGATGTGACTCACACTGTACGACCGCTCGTGTTCCTGCGTGCCCCCAAGGAGGGAGCCACGCGCCTTCTCCTGGAGCACGTTCAGCAGAAGCACGGAGAGGAGACGGGCACAAGCAGGAACCCAGCCCGAGGGCCCCAGCGGAGAGGAGGGCCGCAAGCCAAACGCAACGCGCTTCATTCCAGCCGCCAGCTCACGCGACAACCGCCGTCGCTGTCCCTCTGCGGCACACACCGTCGCCCACAGCCAGCTGGGGCTGGGGCCGGCTTCCCCCGCTGCACCCAGAGACACCTCGGGCTGGCACGAGCCCTGCCGGCGGGGGCAATAGCCACATTGCCACGCGGCACGGTTTACCTTTGCTCTGCCCTGCAGGCGCTGGGTCCCGGCCACGCGCCTGCCTTGCCCACCCGAGCACAGAGGGAAGGTTTGGAAGAGGCAGGGTAGGGAAGCGCACTGCAGCTTCCCTCCGAGGGGGAAAAGGCGAGAGCTGGGGACCCCCCGAGAGCTAAGGGCTCCTCAGCAGCAAATCCCCAGGGCAGGGCATGGCAGCACGGGGGCCGAGGGCCAGAGCAGCCCTCGACTCTGCCAGGCTGCCCTTGGCGTGACGTGGGGAGCTGCGGGGGGGCCCCGGGAGCTGTGGGGGGCTGCGGGGAGCCCCCGGGCAGGAGACCCCAGTGGCTTAGAGCAGAGGAAGGAAGGCTCGGGGCTGCTCAGGGTGGAGGAGGAGGAGGAGGAAGAGAGGAGGAGGAGGCGGTGGCCCTGGGCCTTCGGTGCTCCCGTGCCTTGGCCGGGCACCGGGCGCCCTCTCCCGCCCTGTGGGAGGAAGGCAGGGCCCGCCCGTGCTCTCGGAAGGCTCCAAGATGCTCTGCACCAAACTCCTCCCTTCCCCGCTGCTGGGAAGGAGCCTGGGAGCTTTATCTGGTCCAACACCCGAGTTCAGCCCCCTGAGAGGGGGCATCCGTTCCCTCTCCCGTCCCACCCTGGCACGGCACTGACAGCCCGGGGAGGGCCGAGTCACCCAGCCC